ATGTTGATTTCTTTGGTCTTAATTTATGTTTAATAATTTTCCATTAATTAGTTTACCAGACGGGGATCATGAATTCTATATTGAATAAAAGGCCCAAGAATTTATTCAGTCTATTCTATACTGAATATACACTCTAAAAAGGAGTGTGATTATGTCCTTAAAAGCTTTCAATCTTTATGGAAATTTAGACACATCCCTTCGATCCTATTTAATCTGTTCATTTCCTTTTTGAGCTCTTTCTCATAGAGTAGGCATGCTGATGTAGTGATTAAAAGAACAGACTATAGCATCAGAATTGTCTTCAAGTTTTGAGTTCTCCTGCTCATAGACTTCATGACCCTGGGGAATTAATTAATTTCTCTGCCCCTCAATAGCCTCATCTATATCTAAGTACGGTGTCAGTGCCAAGCTTATCTGGTTGTTACGAGGATTAAGTGAGCTAAGGTACACGCAAGCACTCAGCACAGACCTCAATAAATTGTAAAGCTTATTACAGCTGTTGCTGTTAATATAATTATCAACAGCGATGGCACTAACATATGCCAACCAAACTCACTGAAGGAAAAGATCCTGTGTTCTACATCTTTATATCTCACACAACACCTAGTAGAATGCCCTCTGTATTTGTGCCAAATGTTACTCTATATTGGTAAGATAAAATTTACCATGAATTCCATATAGTAGCATCTGAATGAATGCTTTTTGCTGTATTTTAAGTTTCACATCATCTAAAACAAGAATAGGAAGATAAGGTAGCAAATAATAAATTCGTATTTCCTAGTCTATCATAAGATTCTATTTTTCAGGAAAAAAATTTGTTCCTCTTTCTCTCTCTCTCCTATTATATCAGCCTTTGCAGTCACTGGCTGGCATATTTGGCTGGAACGTGCAGTTTCCTCTGCGAGACCATGACTGCAGCTCAGCCTCACCATTTGTAGAAATCGATTTAGAAAATGTTTGTGGAGAGCTTTTTTTTTTACAAGTACATGAAGAAAATTACAAAGTGAATAATCAAGGAATGGAAAATGTTATAGCCATTTTGGTACACAGTTTGCAGCTTCTTAGAAGTTAAACGTGCACTTATCACACAACCCAGTAACTCCACTCATAGATATTTACACAAGTGAAATGAAAGCTTATGTTCATACAAAAACCTGTATACAGTGACTAGATGAATGAGTGAATGGATAAACAAACCAGGGTACATCTGTACAATGGGATACTACATAGCAATAAAGGGAAACAAACAACTGATACACAACATGGATACATCACAAATGTGTTTTGCTGAGTGCAAGAACCCAGTCTTAAATGGTTGCATACCATACAACTCCATACATAGGCCATCCTAGAAAAGGCAAAAATACACAAACAGAGAACAGATCAGTGATTGCTGGGGTTATGGGTGGGGACAGGGTCTGCCTATAAAGGGCTAGCACCAGAGAATTCTGTGGAGTGTTTGTACTGTTCCGTATCCTGTGGTGGTTACCAGAATCTACGCATGCGTCAAACCTCATGGAACTGTTCACTGCAAAAGTGAGCTTTTACTCTGTGTAAATTTACAATGAAAAAAATCGTAAAGTGAATGAGCAAATTTTCCTATTTGGGAAATTATAAACTACTAAAAAAAGGCTTTTCTCTTTATTGCCATATAAATATTATAAGGCTACATAGCAGCTCTTGTTAACAAATGCTAAGGGGAACACAGAACACCGGGAAATCTGTGAGGGTCAGCATCAAAGAAGTCAGCACATTAGTTAAAGACTGAATGATGCTCTGATTAGGGGGTGGGGATTGGGGCACAGGTAACAGGTGCCATCAGCAGTGCTAACGGTGTGAGCAGAGGAATGAAACTCCTGGGCATGTTCAGGAAACACTGTTGGTCAGGTTTGGCCAGAGTTTAAGGTACAGGGTTCACAAGCATAGCACAGTAAAATGGTAATTCCTATCTTAACTGGGGGTGATGAAGATTAAATGGCATACTGTGTGGGCTAATGTGTGTATAATGGTATAATACATGTGATACAAAGTGTATCATAATATACACATAGTGAGATAATGTACCAGAGGCAGTTAGCACATGGAGTGACTCACACCCTTTGCTAAGGTTTCCTTAGACATTAGAAAAAAATAGAAGTTTGTTATTCTGGGAGGAGCAGGGTGCAGAATGGGCTGGAATGTGGGAGCCAGAGTTGAGGACGTCAATTGGAGGCTTTTGCTCCTGGTCACAGGGAATGAGGTTCTGAATCAGGCAATCTGCAGAAACAAAAGTGAAATGTAGGCCTATCTCAGCAACTCTGTAGGTATACAAGGAACAGAGACTAAATGAGACTAATTATTAATGGGATGTCAGGGCTGGGGAGGGGAGTAGAGTGCAGGCTACAGAAACTGCCCACATCATCATGTCAACCTCCCCCAATCTGGGGTCTTTCTTCCCATTGGCTCCCCATTGTATTCAGAATGAAGACAAGGTCTCTACGATTACCTACAAGGCCCAGCATAATCTGAAACCTGCTCATCCCTCTGGCTTCAACATCCACCATTCTTCTGCTCACTCCTCACACTCTGACTGCTCTTCCCTTCAATTTCCTAAATGCACGTGCTCCCGCTGGTCACAAAGCCTTGGCAAATGCTACTTGTTCCCTACCAGGAATCCTCTCCCCTACTCACCGCCTTGCACGCGTCCCCCATGCATCCCCCGCCTTGTCTCTGAGACCTCCAAATCCTTGCTCAGACTTCTCTCTCCTTTTCATCAGTTCAGTGTCACCTGGCACACACTCCCTGAAGGCCAGGGACTCCCCCTTGCTCCTGTGATTTCAGTTATTACTCGCATAAGCATTCAAATATTTCCACAAGTTATGAAAAAAAAATTATACATTTTGAACTTCAGACAATCATGTGGAAATGAAGAACACTAGGAAAGGATAGAGTTTGAAAGAAATGGGTTTGCTTGTGTTCTGCTTGAGCATTGGAGGATTTTACTGCCCACTGCCCTCAATAAAAATATTGTCAGTTCAATGATAGCATGCCGAGATATTTTGAGTTCATAATAGGTAAGTTATATGAATACAAAAACTCTTTAATATTCATTACCTAAAGCATGATTTATAGTATATTGTTTTAATAAGATGTTCTTTTACGATATTATAGAATACTTACAGAGAACATCAGAACGTTTTCTTCATTCGTGGTATATAAGAGGACTTTAAAGAAAGGAGCAGGAGATAAAGTCAAGCCAGTTTCTTTTTGCAGTCTTGCTGCCTTCCCAATCGTGCAGTGGCGTTTGAGAGCACAGGCTTACGTTGTCAAGTGCAGACATTCAATGCAACTTTCCCAGCCCATCGAACAGTCAGATGTGCCTTTTCGAGCACTGACGATTCATGATTTTATTTCTTTCTCAACCCTGGGGACCATCCAAGCTGCTCTCATGAGCTGCTACACTGGTAGGCCAACCCACCTTAAAATATGCATGAATATATACACATGCAGCCATTCAAAGGAAAAAAGGCCTTTCCAATACCAGCCACAAGGAGAGTAAAGGCGATTCTGTCCACTCATACTTCAAAGCTATTGGATAATTGGTTTAAAAGCACATTTGTCAATAGTCTATAAGCAAACTTTTATTGACTTCATTTCCTCCCTGTGGAAATATGATTTTCTCTGGCTCATGCTCATATATCATATAATACTTCCTGGGGAGCAAAGTAAATTTCCTGGCTTATTTACTTTATTCTCTTGTTCAGTTTTAAACTGAAAAAGAAACATTTAAGAGGCTCTCAAGTCAAAAAAGATGATGAGAATTGCTAGCTCAACGCCTAGGGAAAGCAGGTGCCACCAGATTTTGCCAGGATTCATTGTAACATTTCTGCCAACCAAACTGGGTGGGAAAGGATGGTCTAAAACAACACAGTAGATAGAACGAGCAATATTTGATATCACAACAAAGACTGTAATCAACAAAAAGTTAGGGTATACTTTAAAATAACTAAAAGAGTGGAATTAGAATGTCCCTAACACAAAGAAATCATAAATGCCTAAGGTGATGGATACTCCCAATACCCCAACTTGATTCATATCCATTATATGCCTGTATCAAAATATCACATGTACCCTATAAATATATACAACTGTTATGTACCCATCATAACCAAAAATTAAAAATTTTAGAAAATAAAACAACACAGACTTTCACCAAAGTGGGACATTTGACATGGTCACTTCAGCATCTCCATATGTCCATCCATGACCTGGTCATTCTTCATTCATTTAGCAGTTATTTACTCATCATTTGCTGTGCCATGACTTTGACAGAAGCTGGGTACACAGTGATAGGCCATGATCCCTCTCTTTGAGTCTGTCTTCTAGTTGAGAAAAAAACAAGCAATAAACAAAGTTTATGTAAATTGTGACAACTGCTATGAAGGACAGGTGCAAGGTGCTATAAGAGACAATAACAGCAGGGTGGTTGGGAAAGGTTATTTTGAGGAGGTAGCAGTTAAGAGGAGATCTGAAAGGTGAGAAGGAATATTTGCATGGCCACTTCTTAGCTTCTTCCTATCAGTGAAGATGGAATGAGGAGATCTGTTGCACACAACACAAAAATCCAACCTGACAGCAGCATCAGAACTATCTCGTCAAACTAACATTGGCAGTTTCTCATTCCCAGGGTCTCTGGACCGTTGGAGACACTAGCAGCAATATATCGAATGAAACTGAAGTAGCAATTTAGAATCCTGGGGTCTTGAGGATTTATACTTAAGCCCTTAAATATTGCTGTTGGCATCTGCGAGAGGAGGTTTGCCATAAAAGCACAGCTTTCATTGGAGCAGTAGATTTCAGGTGGCAACCTCAGCTCCCACCACTGGAAATCCAGGTGCCATCAGCTGTCATCCTCATGCAACAGCACTTGCTAAGAAAGGGTGTCCCAGCTCCTCCTAGCCTCTGAGCTGGAACTCTCACTTGAGGTTCCACTGTCACCACTATCAATCCTTTCCGTAGTCATGGCAGATGCAGGGGGAGTAGGAATCTTCAATGTGCCATCAGAAGCAGCAGTAAGTTTTTAGAGTCTCCCCTGCCAGCCACTTTGTTCCTTGGGGCTCCCCCTCCGGATGTAAGAGAAGTGATGGCAGGAACCACGGACCTGGAAATGGACCTTCCCCAGTGGGGTAGGGGGAGTCCCAGAAGCAGGCAGGTGGCCCTGCATTAAGTACTTGACATCGCATGCTCATGCTATCATTTTGTTTCATCTTCCATTTAATGTGTTCATTTTCTGTTACTCCTATCACTCTACCGTTCATCCCCTTCTTTCTCATTTTCTTTATTGCTCCTTATGCATTGACTGGGTCACTTTAGTAAATAAATAGGCTTAATTTGATTGTGGAGGATAGTGTGAAATCAAACGTGTATATTTTATGAATCTCCCTAGGGAATTCTGATACCTCCTCCCTTCCCTTCCCCAGTTGAGAACAACTAAATTATTAATATATAATCCTAAGTTTACCTGATCTCAACAGTCTATGATTAAGTTATTTATTGCCAAACTTCTCCCAATATTATTCTATACTTGATGCTACTTTCTCCTAACAGCTCTTCAACCCATTGCAATGTCTTCTGCCTAATCCCTACAATGTCCTGAATTTTGCTCTTCCTTTATCATCTTCCTGCTTTCTCCCACTGAAAAAAACACCCTGCCCTCACCCTCAAATTCCTGCTTTCTCCCACTGAAGAAAACACCCTGCCCTCACCCTCAAATGTGTTTTATCTGGAATGAAATTTCTACTGCCTATATCAGATTATTTCCTTTGTGTTCCTCTTCCCCATCACTGCCAAGGCAATAAATGAAGAAAAATTATTAGCATAATAGCTGGCACCATAATTCCATTCTGAAGAAATCTTGTCTTTGATGGGAAGAAATGTTAAGGTGTTCCGTTACATATAGATTATTAAATACATGAATTTTCCCTGTTCTATTTTGAAATCAAACTTAAAGTAGAGCAAAAAGGACAAAGAAAATGGAACAATAGATGAGAGATGTCAATTTTTCAGAAAATGAAAACCAGACAGATTGTAGCAGAACACTGAATACTAAGACTTCGGTGGGGAATGCCAAGTCAATTCACATCTCAAAATCCAGGAAGTTATTCATAATCAAAAATAGGTGTCAAACATAGTGAAGGAAGTTAAGCAGGAGGCTGAAATGGGGGTGTTCATTGTAAATCTATTCAAGGAAGAATTAGAACTCTAAACTCCCTCTCTTATCCTACCTAAGAGGCCACCGTCTCAGCAAAAGGTTTTTGTTCATTGCTGTACCCCTAGCACCTAACACAGTAAATGGTACAGAGTAGGCACTCAACCCACAGTTTTTCAATAAATCCATCAAACTCAAGACATATTCCATAATAACACTAGTCAGGCTCCAGAGAAAGGTAGAGGATGATTATAGTACTGAAAAATGAGTTTAAGTGAAAATCTATACACCTAAGATCCTTGTACTTCTAAGATCCAAGAACATTGATAGCCAGCTTTTTAATACCCATATCTCAAGCAATAAATTGATGAATTTATCTCTCAAGAAATAGATTGGTTGCAAGGACTGCAACCTATTTGTTATGGACCGAATGTATTTCTACAAAATTAATCTGTTGAAACCCTAAGTTTGAATGTGACTGTCTTTAGAGATAGAGCCAGTAAGGAGGTTTCAGAGGTTAAACGAGCTGTAAGG